GATGCCGCGATAGGGATTCTCTCTACGTCCTTTCATACCTTGTTCCGTACATGTTCCCAGAAAACTCTGCGTTTTCAATAAATCCTCCAGCATCGATTTCCTTCTGCATCTCTTCTCGGGTCACAAAATGGTAATCTGGGGGAAAATGAGATGTTTTACATAGCCGAACGCTACTGAGTTCACACGTATACTCGGGGATGCATATTAAACTCTTCCAAGGGTGATGTTTAGAAACAAGACACCTTCCATCCTTTCCTCCGACAAAGTTCCTTCCTGACTTAAGAATCTCTGAATGTATTGACTTAATTAACTGGTTGCCTTTATTATATACTCTTGGGGTTTAAATAATCTCAAGATGTTTGCCTAGTGAGAATGAAAATACAATCAAGTAAGGCATAAACTGCCTAGCTTGTGCCACAACGTCTCCATTGCTTTTCTCTTATTTTGCAATGAATTAGAAGGAACAATAACAATAGAAAAATGCACCACAACACTTCAACACTTTCTAAACCTATTGACACTCAGATTTATGTCACTTAATAAAGATTCCTGCAAATAAGTCTTTCTACAGCCTTTTCCTCTGTCTAGCTCAGGGTTTCTCAACCTTCCTAATGCCGCGACCCCTTAATACAGTTCCTCATGTTGTGGTGACCCCCAACCACAACATTATTTTCGTGCAACTTCATAACTGTAATTTTGCTACTTTTATGCATCGCCATGTAAATATCTGATATGCAGGATGTATTTTCATTCACAAATACCCAATATGCCCAAATTTGAATACTGGTGGGGTTGGGGAGGATTGATTTTGTCATTTGGGAGTTGTAGTTGCTGGGATTTATAGTTCACCTACAATCAAAGCATTCTGAACCCTACAATGAAATTGAACCAAACTTGGCACACAGAACTCCCATAACCAACAGAAAATACTGGAAGGGTTTGGTAGGCATTGACCTCGAGTTTTGGAGTTGTAGTTCACCTACATCCAGAGAGCACTGTGGACTCAAACAATGATGGATCTGGACCAAACTTGGCACGATGACTCAATATGCCCAAATGTGAACACTGGTGGAGTTTGGGGAAAATAGAATCTTGACATTTGGGAGTTGTAGTTGCTGGGATTTGTAGTTCACCTATAATCAAAGAGCATTCTGAACTCCACCAACAACGGAATTGAACAGACTTGGCACTAAGAACTCCCAAAAAAATAATACTGGAAGGTATTGTCAAAGGCGTTCATGGCCGGAATCACTGGGTTGTTGTAGGTTTTTTTCGGGCTATATGGCCATGTTCTAGAAGCATTCTCTCCTGACATTTCACCTGCATCTATGAAGCATCCTCACTACCTCTGAGGATGCTTGCCATAGATGCAGGCGAAACATCAGGAGAGAATGCCCCTAGAACATGGCCACATAGCCCGAAAAAACCTACAACAACCCAGTACTGGAAGGGTTTGGTGGACATTGACCTTGGTTTTGGAGCTGTAGTTCACCTACATCCAGAGAGCACTATGCACTCAAACAATGATAGATCTAGACCAAACTTGGGCATCTTCAACATGCCCAAATGTGAACACTGATGGAGTCTGGGGAAAAAACAGTGTTCCCTCACTACGTCGCGGTTCGCTTTTAGCAGATTTGCTTTTTTGTGGTTTTTCAATAAATATTAATTTAAAATATATATTGCGGTATTTTTGCTGTTTTGTTGGTTTTTGCCTCCCTCGCTCTCCGAGGCGTTTTCTCTCCTCAGTCCTCCCTCCATCCCTCCAGCCTTGAAGGGCCTATCTTCCCATTCCTTTGCTCTCGCTCTCTCTTCACCCAGCGAAGGGAAAGACAAGGAGGAGGATGAGGAGGATTACCCATTAAAATAGTGTATACTTACTAAAATAATGTATTAATATTAAAATAATATTAAAATAAATATGGCATCTCTAATTCACGGATTTTCACTTATAGCGGGTGGTCCTGGAACGTAACCTCCGCGATAAGTGAGGGAACACTGTAGACCTTGACATTTGGGAGTTGTAGTTGTGGGATTTATAGTTCACCTGAAATGAAAGAGCATTCTGAACTCTACCAATGATGGAATCGAACCAAACTTGGCACACAGAACTCCCATGACCAACAGAAAATACTCATAGCCATGGGAGGGTTTGTTGGGCATTGACCTTGAGTTTTGGAGTTGAAGTTCATCTACATTGAGAGCACTGTGGACTCAAGCATCTGGATCAAACTCAATATGCCCAAATGTGAACACTGGTGGAGTTTGGGGGAAATAGACTTGACATTTGGGAGTTGTGGGATTTGTAGTTCACCTATAATCAAAGCGCATTCTGAACTCCATCAACAATGAAATGGAACAAAACTTGGCACACAGAACTCCCAGGACCAACAGAAAATAGTGGAAGGGTTTGGTGGGCATTGACCTTGATTTTTGGAGTTGTAGTTCACTTACATCCAGAGAGCACTGTGGACTCAAACAATGATGGATCTGGACCAAACTTGGCACGAATACTCAATATGCCCAAATGTGAACACTGGTGGAGTTTGGGGAAAACAGACCTTGACATTTGGGAGTTGTATTTGCTGGGATTTATAGTTCACCTACAACCAAAGAGCATTCTGAATCCCACCAGTGATAGAATTGGGCTAAACTACTCACACAGAACCCCTATGACCAACAGAAAATACTGTGTTTTCTGATGGTCTTTGGTGACCCCTCCGACATCCCCTCACAACCCCCCCAGGGGTCCTGACCTCCAGGTTGAGAAACACTTGCTAGCTGGTGAGATATCTAGAGACTCTAATGCAAATACATTACCCGGTCTGGTTGTTTAATTTCACATTTGCATTGTTATGTTTTGGACAAAAAGGCCTGCAGAAACATGCTGAACCACTCTTCTTTTCTTGCAAAATAGAAATCTATCATTGGATTGGTGTGAATTGTTCTGTTGACGACAATATACCGAACGGCTCACCTAACTGTATTGCTTGTATGTTGTATAAGAAGAACTGAAGGGTGTTGAGGCGGAAGGGAACACGGCTAAGGTGAGCGCTGCGGACTTGAGCTCTTAATCTGAGAAAATCCTCTTAATTATATGAGAAAAGGCTGGCCTCACCCAAACACTGGCTTCCTTGCTCTCTCACACATTCACTGCTTGCCAGCAAAGATAATAATCTGTAGAGGCAACTGAGGTTAGACAGCTAAAGGATCTTCACTGCAATTGCACCCAAACTGTAGAGTATCCCTTTTAGATAGAGTCCTTATTAATTTTTAGATGGGTAGTGAATGCCATCACATTTCTCTGGTACAAAATCTCCATGCCTAGTTTCTAAGTTGTGGCTCTGAATATGACCAGCTGTGTCCTGCCATGCATTGCTTTGGCCCAGTCTGTGTAGATGTGTTTTGTGTGTGTATATTTTTGTGTATATGTGTATATACGTGTGTTTGCGTATATTATATATGTGGTTTTGTGCATGTGCTGTAATCTATCTTTTTTAGTCTCTTCTGCTGTGTTTTTCAGTGTTTTTATGAGTGATGGTCACTCATTGGCCTAAGAGATGTCTTGTGTCCAAATTTGGTGTCAGTTCACCCAGAGGTTTTTGAGTTATGCTAATCCCACACTCCACCTCAGACATCAGGAGAGCGGCAAGACCAAGAACAAGCCACGAGAGTCAAGACAAAGATCCACCCAGAGGAAAAGTATTCCTGCCATACATCAAGGGAACCACTGACCGCATAGGGAAGCTGATGAGGAAACACAACATACAAACAATCTACAAACCCACCAAGAAAATCCAACAAATGCTACGTTCAGCAAAGGACAAGAGGGACCCTCTCACCTCTGCAGGAGTCTACCGTATACCATGCAGCTGTGGACAAGTCTACATAGGGACCACCAAACGCAGCAGCATTGCCCAGACACGAATCAAGGAACATGAAAGGCACTGCAGACTACTTCAACCAGAGAAGTCAGCCATAGCAGAGCACCTGATGAACCAGCCTGGACACAGCATATTATTTGAGAACACAGAAATGCTGGACCACTCCAACAACCACCATGTCAGACTACACAGAGAAGCCATTGAAATCCACAAGCATGTGGACAATTTCAACAGAGAGGAGGAGACCATGAAAATGAACAAAATCTGGCTACCAGTATTAAAAACTCTAAAATTACAACAGCAAAACAGCAGAGAGGAAACAACCAGGCACATCTTAACACCTCTCAACAAAAGATTTTCCCAGGCTCAGCCAGGCCTTCAAATGCTAATGAAGGTGGTCAGCTGAAACATTCACACCTAGCTCCAGCAGAGAAGAGCTCTTTGCCCCACCCCAGTCATTCCACAGATATATAAACCCATTTTCCTATTCCAACAGACCTCACTACCTCTGAGGATGCTTGCCATAGATGCAGGCGAAATGTCAGGAGAAATGCCTCTAGAACATGGCCATATAGCCCGAAAAAACCTACAAGAACCATTACATTTTTATTTATATAGATACTAGCAATCCCCTGCCATGCATTGCTGTGGCCCAGTCTGTGTATCTGTGCTTTGTGTGTGTATATGTGTGCATATATATTTGTGTATATGTGCATAAATGTGTGTTTGCGTATATATGTGTAGTTTTGTGCATGCATTTTTATTTTTTTGGCTTTTAAAGTCTCTTCTGCTGTGTTTTTCAGTGTTTTTATGAGTGATGGTCACTTGTTGGCCTGATAGGTGTCTTGTGTCCAAATTTGGTGTCAATTTGTCCAGTGGTTTTTGAGTTATGTTAATCCCACAAACAAACATTATATTTTTATTTATATAGATACTAGCCATCCCCTGCCACACAGTTGCTGTGATCCAGTATGTATATGTGTTTTGTGTGTGTGTGTGTGTGCGTATATATATATATATATATTTGTGTATATGTGTTTATATATAGGTTTGTGTATATATATGTGGTTTTCTGGTTTTGTGCATGCATTATAATATAAATTTTGTTATTTGGCTTTTTAAGTCTCTTCTGCTGTGTTTTTCAGTGTTTTTATGAGTGATGGTCACTCATTGGCATGATAAGTGTCTTGTGTCCAAATTTGGTGTCATTCGTCCAGTGATTTTTGAGTTATGTTAATCTCACAAACTAACATTACATTTTTATTTATACCTAGCTGTCCCCTGCCATGAGTTGCTGTGGCCCAGTCTGTGTATATGTTTTGTGTATATATATATGTATATATTTGTGTATATACATATATGTGGTTTTGCACATGCATTGTAATGTAATTTTTTTTTGGCTTTTTAAGTCTCTTCTGCTGTGTTTTTCAGTGTTTTTATGAGTGATGGTCACTCATTGGCCTGATAGGTGTATTGTGTCCAAATTTGGTGTCAATTCGTCCAGTGGTTTTTGAGTTATGTTAATCCAACAAACAAACATTACATTTTTATTTATATAGATTGATGACTCACCTTATATAGTAGAGTCTCGCTTATCCAACATAAATGGGGCGTCAGAATGTTGGATAGGCGAAAATGTTGGATAATAAGGCGAGATTAAGGAAAACATCCTGGTGGTGCAGTGGGTTAAACTGCTCAGCTGCTGAATTTGCTAACTGAAAGGTTGCCGGTTCAAATCCGGGGAGCAGGATGAGCTCTCACTGTTAGCCCGAGCTTCTACCAACCTAGCAGTTCGAAAAACATGCAAATGTGAGTAGATCAATAGGTACCACTCCGATGGGAAGGTAACAGCACTCCATGAAGTCATGCCGGCCACATGACCTTGGAGGTGTCTATGGACAATGCCGGCTCTTCAGCTTAGAAATGGAGATGAGCACCAATCCCCAGAGTGGAACAAAACTGGACTTAATGTCAAGGGAAAACTTTTACTTTAAGGAAAAGCCTATTAAACGTCATATTATGCTAAGATTTTACAAACTAAGCACCAAAACATCATGTACAAACTTTGGTTTGTACAGGAATTGGACGTAGCCACCGACCTTTTCCATTGACTTCTCCCGGTCTTGGGTTCCTTGTGGTATCTGGAAGCAATAAAAATATGTTTTCTTACTGAACATATTCTAAGCCTTACATTATTTGTAAAGTAGCTGGAGAGCCTCAAACCAAAATGGAATATCCTTTGTTTTCCCCACCAGTCTTGCAATAACAACCTGTTTCTGTTAAAATGGAGGATTGGCTTTGTTTGGAAATAAGTAAACTCAAGCAAAGGATTTCTCTCTGTCTGTCTTTGGAAAAATAGAAGATTAACAGACAAAGGAAAAATGTGGAGTGAAATGAATAATTTGTATAATTGCTGGATTGTGAATTGTTTTTATACTGTGTCTTGAATTTTGTTGCTCCTATGTTGTACACCGCTGTGAGTCGCCCTCGGGCTGAGAACAGCGGTATATAAGCAAAGTAAGTAAGTAAGTAAATAAATAAATAGAAAATATAAATAAGAAGACCAGAATAACCTGGATTTTGGTTGTGTAAAGTTGACAATTTCTTGATGAGGAGGAAAATAAAATAGCAAAGGCTGGGGAATATCTTAAGATGCTCTTTTACCCAGTGGTCAATTAACTGGGTTATGAACTTATGGGAGTTATAGTCCAAGGTACATAGAGGGCCCTAGGTTTGGATACCAGCAGAACTCCTTTTTGCACATTTTTCTAAGTCTTCCTTATCTGGCGATCCAAAATAATCCAAAACTTTGTGTCACTAGCTGCACACGCTTCCCCAATCCATACTGATCATTCAATGCAGGGGCTGGACAACAAATGCCCATAAAACTACACAAAAGAAAGCCCTTAATACGCATCACTGCTCTGGTTTGTGCCATCACCATCTGGACCTTAAACTAGTTCCAGGATTTCCTATCTTCACAGTGAAAGCATCTTCTTACGTTGAAATGGACCAAAGTAGTCAGTGCAGATATGGCCTGGATGTGTGACTATTTATTTATTTACGACATTTATATGCTGCCCTTCTCACCCCAAATAGGACTCAGAGTGGCTCACAAGTTATATGTACATACAATATATTATATTAGCATAGCACAATATTAGTATTATATATCACTATATTGTACTATGCCACTATACTGCAATATTATTAGTAATATTGCATATAATATAAAATATATAATTATTATATCCTAGTATTATTAGTATTATATTGTATTACATTGTATTATCATTATATGTGTATACAATACATTATTTTATTAGCAGAGCACAATATTAGCATTATATATTACTATATTGCATTATACCACTATACTGTAATATTATTAATAATATTACATGCAATATAAATTATATAATTATTATATTGTAATGTTAGTATTATATTGTACTACATTATAATATTATCAATATTATATGTGTATACAATATATTATACTATTAGCACAGCACAATATTAGTATTATATATTACTATATTGTACTATATCACTATACTGTAATTTTATTAGTAATATTACATGCAATATAAATTATATAATTATTATATTGTAATGTTAGTATTATATTGTACTACATTATAATATAATCATAATATATGTATACAATATATTATACTATTAGCACAGCACAATATTAGTATTATATATTACTATATTGTACTATATCACTATACTGTAATTTTATTAGTAATATTACATGCAATATAAAATATATAGTTATTATATTGTATTATTATCTGTCACTCCTTCCCACCTACTACTAAGGAGGCTGTCCAGGTCCTGAACCGGTGCTTGGCCGCTGTGTCGGACTGGATGAGGGTGAACAAATTGAAACTCAATCCAGACAAGACAGAGGTACTCCTGGTCAGTCGGAAGGCCGAACAGGGTATAGGGTTACAGCCTGTGCTAGACGGGGTCGCACTCCCCCTAAAGGCGCAGGTTCGCAGCTTGGGTGTGACTCTGGATTCTTCGCTAAGCTTGGAACCCCAAGTTTCAGCGGTGTCCAGAGGAGCATTTGCACAGCTTCGGCTTGTGCGCCAGTTGCGCCCGTATCTTGGGAAGTCGGACTTGGCCACGGTAGTCCACGCTCTTGTCACATCCCGTATAGATTACTGCAACGCGCTCTACGTGGGGTTGCCCTTGAAGACTGCCCGGAAGCTTCAGATGGTCCAGCGTTCGGCAGCCAGGTTGCTAACGGGAGCGGCACTCAGGGAGCACACCACTCCGCTGTTGAGCCAGCTCCACTGGCTGCCAATTTGCTACCGGGCACAATTCAAGGTGCTGGCTTTAGCCTATAAAGCCCTACACGGTTCCGGCCCCACTTACCTCTCCGAACGCATCTCCACCTATGAACCGGCGAGGTTGTTAAGATCGTCTGGGGAGGCCCTGCTCTCGGTCCCGCCAGCGTCACAGGTGCGGCTGGCGGGAACGAGGGATAGGGCCTTCTCAGTGGTGGCCCCCCGACTATGGAATGCCCTACCAGCGGACATCAGGCAGGCCCCTTCGCTATTGGCGTTTAGGAGAAGGGTTAAGACGTGGCTCTTCGAACAGGCGTTCGGATAAGTATGCAATAACAACTGACTCAGGAATGACGGCACATTGAACAAGGAATGGTAATACGACTGTGAGATTGAGATCTGATTCTAACTAGGCGTGATGATTTTTATGTGTATTGTTTGTGTATGTCTGTCATATGGATTGTTTAGTGTTGCACATTTTATTGTAAACCGCTTCGAGTCGCCTTTGCAGGCTGATATTTGCGGTATACAAAAGAAGTAAATAAATAAATAAATAAATAAATTATTATATTATATTACATTATAATAATACCAATATTATATGTGTATACAATATATTATATTATTAGCACAGCACAATATAAGTATTATATATTACTATATTGCATTATACCACTATACTGTAATATTATTAGTAATATTACATGCAATATAAAATATATAATAATTATATTGTATTATTATTAGTATTATATTGTATTACATTATTACATGACTAGCCCTCTTTTCCTTCATTCGCTATGTATATGTAATACAGGTATTCCAAAATCTTTTGGTATCAGGGAGACTCAGCCTGCACTGAAGTATACACCTCGGGAATTCACAGAATGGCAGTCCAACAGGGATCAATCTGCTGCAACTGCAGTGTAGATGCACTCTGAATCTTCCCATAGAATCCCTGCAATCGCATTGGTCCTGGGAGAAAAGAACTCACTCACGGGAGACGCTGAAACCGAACACGTTCTCGTAATCCTTCAGCAGCTTCTTCAGCAAAGTGCTCTTCCCGGCACCTGAGGGCCCGCTCAGCACGACTGGCCTTGGTCCCGTCATAACTGGGGAAGAAAAGAGGTTGCTTGGTTAGGAATGGGAAGAGAATCCAAGGGCTACCCAGTCCAACCCCCCTCCTCCCAGGCAGGAAGACACAGTCCAAGTCCTCCTGACAAACAGCCATCCAGTCTATGCTTAAAAACCTCCAGAGGAGACTCCACCAGACCCCCAGGCAGCATGTCCCAGCTTGTGTTTATAAAGCCATTGTCCTCCCAACCCTGCTATATGCCTGCGAAACGTGGACTGTCTACACACATTATACGCAGCTCCTGGAACGATTCCATCAGCGTTGCCTCCGAAAGATCCTGCAAATCTCTTGGGAATCAGGCGGACAAATGTCAGCATACTGGAAGAAGCAAAGATCACCAGCACTGAAGCGATAGTCCTCCGCCATCAGCTCCGCTGAACCAGCCACATTGTCCGGATGCCCAACCACCGTCTCCCAAAGCAGTTACTCTACTCTGAACTTAAGAACGGAATACAGAATGTTGGTGGATGGGAAAAGAGAATTAAAGATGGGCTCAAAAACTGTGGCATAGACATCGAGAACTGGGAAGCCCTGGCCCTTGAGTGCTCTAACTGGAGGTCAGCTGTGACCAGCAGTGCTGCAAAATTCGAAGAAGCATGAATGGAGGGTTAAAGGGAGAAATGTGCCAAGAGAAAGGTGCATCAAGCCAACCTTGACCAGGACTGCCTTCCTTCTGGAAACCGATGTCATCACTGCAGAAGGGAGAAGATGCGGATCAAGAATAGGGCTCTAGAGACACCTACGGACCCACTGCCAAGACACCATATCTGGAAGACAATCAACCTCGAGCTATGAGGGATCTCCTAAGTAAGTAAGTAAGTAAATTCTAGCTCTTACTGTCAAGAAGCTCTTCCTAATGTTCAGGTGGGAAAAAATTCCTGATATTTGAAGCCATAACTCCATTGTATCCGAGTCTCCAAAGCAATGGAAAACAAGCTTTCTCCCTCCATAGGATACCCTATCAAGTATTTAACCATGGCTGCCATGTCACCTTCTTCACCTTCTCTTCTCCAGGCAAGTATGTGCAATGAAGCCCGCAGTCTAGCAAAATGAGCTCTGCAAAAACATCTTTGCACAAAGAGAGGGAGACTGACAACTGAGCAGTTTACTTCCTTGCAATATGGTCATTTTAAAGCTATCATGACTAATTTGTCTAATACTGCTTTAAAAACCATTTGAACCTAAGACCACTGGAAGACCACGCATCTCCAAATCCCACGGTTTTGCCCACTGGTATATGAAACTGGACTTTCCATTGTTTGGGTCTGTCTCGACTACCCATGAATTGAACTGAGTCAATCCAAACTGCTTTAGGTCTCCTTGTGGGGAGAAAAAGCAGAGTATAAATATAAATATAATAATAAATCACACAGTCCTAGACACTTGGGAAGTGTTCGACTTGTGATTTTGTGATACGAAATCCAGCATATAGATCTCATTTGCTGTGACACACTGTGTTTTTGTGTCAGTAAAATAATAATAATAATCTATATAAAGAAAAATGTAATATTTGTTTGTGGGATTAACAGAACTCAAAAACCACTGGACGAATTGATGCCAAATTTGGACACAACACACCTATCAGGCTAATGAGTGACCATCACTCATGAAAACACTGAAAACCACAGTGGAAGAGACTTAAAAAGCCCCAAAAGAACCTTACAATACATGCGCAAAACCACATATATACACAAATATATGCACACAAAACACATATACACAGACTGGGCGACAGCAACGCATGGCAAGGGATGGCTAGTCTATATAAATAAAAATGTAATTTCATTTGTGGGATTAACATAACTCAAAAACCACTGGATGAATTGACACCAAATTTGGGCACAAGACACCTATCAGGCCAACAAGTGACCATCACTCATAAAAACATTGAAAAACACAATGGAAGGGACTTAAAAGTCAAGAAACAAAAGTTACATTACAACACATGTGCAAAACCACACATATATATGCAAACACACATATACACAAATATATACACACACAAAACACATATACACAGACTGGGCCACAGCAACGCATGGCAGGGGATGGCTAGTACTATATGTAAAATTCATTGTGAGTGAATAGTTATGCTAAATAATAATAATAATCCTAGTCACTTGGGAAGTGTCCGATGTGTGATCCAATACAACAACCAGTATAGTGATCTTGTTTGCTGTGTACTAATCTTGTTATGTTGCAAATAATAATAATCCAATAGAATATGACTCTGAGGCTAGTGTCCGAGCTGTCACACAGCTGAAAAACCCACTGGGTGAGCTTAGGTAGGTCACACTCTCTCAGCCTTAAATGAAGGCAATGCCAAACCTTTTCTGAACCAACCTAGCCAGGAAACGACTTGGAAGGCATACAAAAAACATTGCTACAAACTCTCTTCTGTATCCTTCCTGGCTCATCTCCTGTATCTAACAATAATAACGGTTATTATTGTTGCTACTATTTGTTACTTGCCTCGGAGGTCAAGTCAGGGTACAACCTAGTATAACTGCAAGCAATAAGTTTGAGCATTATATTCCTCAGTTTTATAAATTTGCTTACCATGCTGTCATTGAGAAAGCATTACAGAAGGAAACATATAATCTGGACAAACATTCCCTCCTGAATTTTCAGTATGTATAGATTACAATTGCAACTCTGATGTTATAGATTTAAAAAAATCCCAATTGTTTTCATTGATGACAATGGAAATGTATTGTCCAAGGCTTTAATAGTCGGAATAAATGACTTAAATCTAATAGTTTTCTAAGATCTACAGAGACACTCGGTGGAACACCTCAGCAAGCGAGAGTCCAAAAGTGGCAGGCTCAAACCCAGACCTCAACCAATGGCTGATACCAAATGAGAGACTCCCCCCTGGGCACACAGAGGCCTGGGCGACTTGGAAGGCGCTGAACAGACTGCGCTCTGGCACCACGAGATGCAGAGCCAACCTCAAGAAATGGGGCTACAAAGTGGAATCCTCAACATGCAAGAGTGGAGAGAAGCAAACCACTGACCACCTGCTGCAATACAACCTGAGCCCTGCCACATGCACAAAGGAGGACCTCCTTGCAGCAACACCAGAGGCACTCCAAGTGGCCAGATACTGGTCAAAGGACATTTAATCAACTACCAAACTCACAAATTTTGTATTTTGTCTGTTTGTTTGCTTTGTTCTGTTAGAAATGTAATATAATTTGACTGGTTGCCCTGACACGACAAATAAATAAAATGGCCGGAATCACTGGGTTCTTGCGAGTTTTCTGAAATCATACCAGTAAATAAAGAACAACACTCAAAAACAGGGGAATTCCAGATGAGAAACAATCAGGGCCAGCTAATCGCCTCCCAACATAGGATTCCCCTGGCAGTAAGAAGCCAGACCTTGAAAACTGCTAATCAAGATGAAAACTACCTACTTAAAACAGACAACAGTTCTTTCTCCCACCTTGGACATTTCACAGATATATAAACTCCATTTTCCTAGTTTCTAATAGAACTCGCAACCTCTGGGGATGCCTGCCATAGATGTGGGTGAAACGTCAGGAGAGAATGCTTCTGGAGCATGGCCATACAGCCCAGAAAACTCAAACAACCCAACAATGGGAATGCTTTATCAAAGGGCAAGAATAAATTCCATGAGTTTCAGAAAGAAGTTTTTTTTAAGAGACCCCATTTGATCCACCTAACAAGACGAAATGAAATAATACCAGGAGGGTATGAGCAGTTATTTCTGAGGTGCCAGTTGCCAGCTTCCAAACTATATCATCAGTCTCAAAAATTCCTTACCTGTTGCTTCTCTGAAGTCCTTTCCCAGCACAATAATGCAATGAGGCCGTACTATCCGCTGAGCCACAAGCTGTTCTTGATCTCACAGGTAGAAAAGCAACAGGAGGAGAGCGTCCGGCTATTTCCGAGCGTCTAAAGCCTTAAATTCCCCATCCTTCACCTTGAGACGGCCAATGAGAAGCTGTCCTCTCAAATCCATAATCACATCCCGCTGTTTCCTAATCACCTCTACAAAGCACACCTTTGGGTTCAAAGAGAACACTACCTTCAAAGAGAAGCCATTTGACGTGCATCCAGCAACCCTGGAATAGTTTCTGATTGGGTGCTTTCCATCATTTATCCGCTCTAGAAAGAAGCCATATATTGGAAGTCCAAAGGAGTCACGTAAAACAAACACATTTTCAAGAATGCATTTGATACATACCCAAGATTTATAGACTGAATAGCTATTATTATTTTACTGACACAAAAAATACAATAGGTCACAACAAACGAGATCTATATGCTGGATTTCGTATCACAAAATCACAATCATAGAATCAAAGAGTTGGAAGAGACCTCATGGCCATCCAGTCCAACCCCCTGCCAAGAAGCAGGAATATTGCATTCAAATCACCCCTGACAGATGGCCATCCAGCCTCTGTTTAAAAGCTTCCAAAGAGGAGCCTCCACCACACTCCGGGGCAGAGAGTTCCACTGCTGAACGGCTCTCACAGTCAGGAAGTTCTTCCTCATGTTCAGATGGAATCTCCTCTCTTGTAGTTTGAAGCCATTGTTTCCCGTCCTAGTCTCCAGGGAAGCAGAAAACAAGCTTGCTCCCTTCTCCCTGTGACTTCCTCTCACATATTTATACATGGCTATCATATCTCCTCTCAGCCTTCTCTTCTTCAGGCTAAACATGCCCAGCTCCTTAAGCCGCTCCTCACAGGGCTTGTTCTCCAGACCCTTGATCATTTTAGTTGGCCTCCTCTGGACACATTCCAGCTTGTCAATGTATCTCTTGAATTGTGGTGCCCAGAATTGGACACAATATTCCAGGTGTGGTCTAACCAAAGCCTGGAATATTGTGTCCAATTCTGGGCACTACAAGTAAACACTTTCCAAGCGTCTAGGACTGTGTGATGTATTTTCGAATGATGTGCGCAGATCCAAGTAAGGTGGCCTTTTGCAGTTGACAGATTGTGATTT